GTGCGCACAATTCCAGGGTTTGCAGAATGAAAATCAATAAAAAATCGATGTAGTGGCGAAGAACACAAAACACTTTGGATTGTTATTGCGTTGGTTAAATTCTTTTTTTTTTAATTCTTACTTCTTTCTTAGAAAAAAAAATGCTTCAGCTTGGATTCGGGCCTTGGAGAGAGACACAAAATATCTCCCGGTCCCCGCTTAGGAGACGTACGCGCGCCTTCGTTCCAACACAGCGCAAACTTCCCCCGGCGGCCGAGCGCCGACCGGCGGAAAGAGAAGCCCCAGGGCGCGCTCGGCTTCCAGATACGGCTTTTCCGCGAGCCCAACCATCTGCCCTTTGGGGAGATGGCCTCCCCCCTCCACCTATATTTCCCCGGTTCACCACCCACCCCCGCGCCCCAGGGGCCGCGCCTCCTCCCCTCCCCCGCGCTCTCCCCGGCGCTTTAAATAATGATATTTGCATGCAGGGAGCGATTCATAAATATGTCAGGGCCGGTGAAATATAGGCAACATTTCAAACTTTCTATTTAAAAAACATGAATTATGGCCGCGGAAAATGTGTTCCCATTTAAAGGCGATACGAAGTATTTGGTGTCTCGTCCCCGGGCCCATCCATCACGCAGACAATAAAGAGAGTTTTTCGCCCTGACACCCGCGATTTATGGGCGCCCTTCTCTGCCCTCATCACTCACCCGCCTCGGCCGGCCCAGCGACAGGCCCTGCGGAGAGACCGCCAGTCGCCCCGCGCGAATCCGCGCGCGTACTTTGCGGCCTTATTGAGCGCCCCCCCGCCCCCGAAAAAATCCGCAGCTCCGGGGGAGGCGCCCACTGCCGAGAGTTGGGGATCAGCCTTGGGACCCTGAACAGCCAAGTGGTAGTGCGAACCGCACAGGTCCACCTCAGGAGCAAGCAAGTTGGGCTGTGGCCCAGCGGGTCCAGGGATGGCCTAGAGGGCCATCTCTGCATCCAGGCCTCGGATCAGATCGCCACACTGAGCCGGGAAGTTTTCGGCTCTGGCCGCCTGAGGTTATTTAATCGCTAAGTCGGGGTGAGAACAGAGAATTAATTGAGCCAGAGAGCTCTGCCTGATTCCTTGATCATTCTTCCCCAAGGAAGGCAAACTGGTCCCAAACTTTATGAAGCCCCACAGAGTGGACGCTTCTGGCCCAAGCTTTCTACAACTGTTACAAAGCCGGCCTCTACTCTAGCCACTAGTGGGGTGTGTACAAACCCAGGCCGGGTGTGTTTGCAGCAGTTAGAAAATTGCTTACGCTCAGGGACCAAAGAGTTGGAGAGAAATAAGAAAAGGAAGGTACCTTCCCTAGTGTTTTGCCTCAGTCCTGACTAGGCCACCAATGCCCTTCTCGTCCCCGCCTGACCCTACAATGATTTGTTCTCCCAGATTTTGGTGGCCACGAAATCTGATGTATATTTGTGTCTAAGAAAGTTTGGGCTATGTCTGCTGCGGAATTTGCTTTCAGTTTTCGCTGAGGGCGGACTCGGGCCAGCAAGTTCAATAAGAAGATAGCAGAAACAGGGTGCTGCTGGACACCGCTGGGCAGCGGGAAGCTGGTCCACTTAGGATGCTGCTTGTCTAGCCCATCTGGAGGTTGGACCCACCACCACCCATGAACGGAGGCAACTTGTTCCCCCTCCCCATGGGCGGATGACTCTAAAGTATATTCCAGCCAGGAGCCATTTCCTGCTAGATGCACTTGAGTTGGATTTACTCGGATAAATGCCCAAACGACAGCCAGAGAAATCCTGCCTATTCTAAAAATGACAAGGTTGAATTTACTATATCGAGATTCGTGTGTAAGTGCAAGGAAGACAGAAATTATACAAACAGCTCAATTGTCCAGTGTGTACCACTGAACGGCTCTGGCTTCAAGGGCATGTAACAACACATCTGAATATCTAGATCTGTACAAGAATATAATTTTTTTTAATTTCTAGATGCATATGCATATAATTAGGTTGGATATTTTCTAGAGCAAGTGTCTTTTTAGAGCCCTTATTTAGTTCTCATGCTGGGCCCAACATAGAACCTATGTTCAAGCAATCACACCATGGTTATTTCTTATAGCTGGAGTTGGGGGAGGCGGTGCGTACTTCTCTTGAAATGACTTCAGCTTGACACCCATGGAAAAAGACATTTAAGAAAAGCAGGCAGGCAGATAACTGACATCAATGCAATATTTGTGGGTTTGGAAATAAATACTCTTACTCAGAATGTAAGAAAAAACAGAGGTGTTGGGGTGGGGAGTCTGCCGGGGCACCTCCTCAGAATCTCAATGCATGTAGCAAGCTGAGGTATACCCTACACGGAATGGGGTATTCCGGGACCCTGTAGTCGCTGCGGCAAGGTAAGGCCTGAATGTTCAATGCAGTAGCCAGTACCTTTGGTGTTCTCTCAGATGTTTGTTCCGAGACAGAGCTGTGGAGCACTGAACCTGGCGTTTAAGGTGGCAGGACCTGGGGTCCCAAGAGCACTCCTTTCTTCTCAGACACTTTACTCGTCAATCCTGGCTCCGCCTGGCCTTGGGCCTATGCATTTGAAAGAAGAGCTCAAAAAAAAGGGCGGGTCTCACTTGATTTCTAACACTTACCAAAACACCAAGCCAGAGGCCACCGGGAAGAAGCCATGATTTTTGCTCTAGTCCAGAAGCCAGACTCCACCCAGCTGTCAGGGCACCAAATAAAGCCTTGGAAGCAGTTGTCTGGATATATTTACTTTGAAATACTAGGCACCCCTTCACATACTAAGTGCTGAAATCCCAGTGCCTTTTGGGTCTCCTCCATATATTTGCAAAGCCTAGGCAACACCGATGATGACGCTGGCAACATTCAAACTGTGAAATTCCAAGACCAAATATTAATTCCAGAGCAGGGCGCTTGCCACTATCCACTCATCTAACTGACTTGAACTCCATCTCCCCCTTCCTATCCCCAAAGGCACTTAACCCTTACACTGGCACAGTGCTTCTAAGCACCCTGCTTGGGGGTAGAAGTTAAAGAGCACTTGGTCATTAAATCCTGGGTACTCACTCCTGAGGCTAGTCTGCACTGGCAGCAACAACCCGGACCCAGAGAATGCCCTGCTGCTAACAGTGTGTCTCCACATGAAGTGGTTCAGATGGTTAAACCAAGAGGAGGGAGAGAAAAATAGGAAATGATTTCGAACAAGTAGGAAAAGGGGAAAGGAAGGGAAAATGAAAACAGGGTTACAGAATCCAGAAAGATGCTGCAGTGGAAATAAAGGGAAGAAAGGGTGAAGAGGTGAAATGGAGAGTTCGAAGAGGGGAGCCGAGAAGGACATGGGCCATAGGGAGGCCTCAAGGCCCCAAGGCAGGTCTTGGGTCCTGCAAGATCCCGAGAAGCCACGAAGCCCTCACAGGAGGCTGTCCTGGAGTCTGGGCCCTATTTCTCAGGGGGTCGTGTGGGCCTGGGTCCTGCGGCCTCACCACACTTTCTCTCACCACTCCACGGAGACAACAAGGAGGAATAGGATAAAGGATGGGGAGGCCCCTAGGGGCGGGCGCCACTCCGGGACTGTTTGGGTGCTCTGGGCCAGGCTTTCCAGCTCGCCGGGCTTGACCTGTCAGGCGGATTATCTTCGAGGGAGATTAATAGGGGAGGCGGGCTGCAATAATAATCGTTTTGTTTGATGTGACAACTCTGATAGGCGTTGATTTACTTACAAACTGATAGGCTTTTAATTGAGCGCCTCCACCGAGCCCAAGATGAAAGGGAAGCGGCGGTGAAAGGCGGCCCGCCTGCCCTCCGGCCTCAATACTGATTAGCCATCTCGACAGTGAATAGTTCAAGGCATTTTCAAACTTTTTTCCTTGGCTCTCTCTCTCTCTCTCTCCCCTTTCCTTCTCCTGCCCCCCCATCCCCTCCTCGAATGTCTGCCGTGCCTACTCCTTTTTTTTTAGAGAAAACAAATCATTTCCATTGTGTGCAAATAAAATCCGCAGGACATCCACACTGACCGCTGTTGGAGGTTGAAGGCATTAGGCCTAGTGCGGAGTAATTAATAACCCCCCCCCACCTCCGGAGCCCCCTCGGCCTTGGGGGAGATTTGGCCTCCCGCCTGAGGTGCGCAGGCTCGACCGCTGTCACCTCCCAAACGCTCGGGGCACGCAGGTCCCCAGGCGCCCCCGTGCGCTCGGACCTTCGGGAGTTGGGTTTTGAGCGTAGCGATCGCGTGCAGCCCAGGACCTGCGCCTAGTTAGCACAGCATAGACCGGCGAGTGTGTGCAGTCACTTCCAGAGGTGCAGGACTTACTCCCTGGCTCCCTCAAGCTTTGGACCCTTTGGGAGGGGACATCCCCTGAACTGCCAGGCCTAAGGAGAAAGCCACTGCAATTAGAGGACCGGGGGAGGGGGGGAACAGCACCAAAAGACCTGTCTAGAAGGTTGGAAAGGATACCAGAGCCGGCAGCCTCGCGCCCCCGTCCCCCCTCCCAGCTCTGGTCCCAACCCCAGGCCTATCCTAGAGATACGCTGTCCAAAGGCCAGCTCGCCAAGCTGGGAACGCTGCACCCGGTCCAAATGGACACCTAGACAGCCATGCGTTCTGTGACACAAGCAGACACCAACATTCGAAGGATAAAAGCGACTTCAAAAACGTTGCCCTGCAGAGACAATTTAGGATTGCCATCCCCAGAAATTGGCACCCGGGACCCACTCTCCCAAGATCACTCAGAAAAACTTCATAACCTTACCTGTTATCTGACCACGCTCTGTCTCACCGACTTACCTTTCTCTGTGTCGCACAGAGACACTACACACCCTCTTGAATGTAGGTGTATTCTTACACACACAAACAGCGGCCCCAAACACACACCAACCACCTCACTTGCCCCTCTTCTCTGCTGTCCAAAATAGCTTTAATCAAATTACCATCTCATAAAGTTTACAAACCTAAAAGGGGGAGGAGAGAATAAAATTAAAACGCAGAAAAATAATGCCTACGAGAAAATTCTAAAACTCACCCCACAAAGTTCTTGGTACCCATGCGGAGTGGGGAGACAGAGAGACCAAAAGGAGGCGAGTGGGCTGGTTAGAGGAAAAGGGTGAGCACTCGCGGAACCGGTCCCAAACCGGACCCGTATACACACCGCGCAGTTTAGCTCCCAGGTGCGGGTAGGAACCCGGCCTCCAAGGCTTGCCCCCCTCCCTGCACCCCAGAGCGGGCACAGACGGGCTCCGGGCTTCCAGCCCCACCATTTATCAAAAAGACTTGACAACAAAAGAAGAGCCGGGCGGAAAAGTGGGGGGAGGGGAGATCCAAAGTCTTCCAAGTCCTTCCAAGGAGGGGGTGTGTCCTCCGCTAACCCCCCTTCTCTCCCCCTGCTAGTTTCTACCAGTTTCTGGAGGTGACCCTCAGTCCGGTTCCCGGGAAGTCACACCGCGGCGCAAACGTAGGCATATACTGTGTGCGCCCCGACCCCGTACCCGGTCGCACGCACCGCGCCTCCCCTCTCGGAACAGCCCCGGTGACGGTGCAGACCCAGCGGAACGCGGCAGTCCCGCTCCGCTTCCCGACGAGAACCCGCGTTCCCACCGGCAGGCGCCCCTCCCTCGCTCGCGCCTTCGCTCTCCTCTCCCGGCGCAGCCTAGTCCTAGCTTGGCGCTCCGTTAAAATCCGAGCGAGCAGCCCCAAGTAACCCGGACTCCCCAGGCTTTGGGTTAGCGCTCAGAGGGCAGTGAAGGGCTAGGGAGGAGGAGAGAGAGCCTGAAAACGTTTCTCCCGCACACCCACCTTCAGGCCTCTTCTCCGCAGCCTTTCAGCCCTGTGATGGGGTGGGCTGAGAAGAAAAGCATCGAAGGGAGTTATCCCATCAGGACTCAGTTTACTTTAGAGGTAGGGGCTCTTAGGAAGAAGTCTTGGGGGTCGGGGCACTAAAGAGGACGGCAGGCTCCTGACATCTGCTGGCTACCGGACCCTAAGGGGATTGTTGTAAGGAAGTGGGAATTCTCCATTAGACGTCGCTGCCACCGCCACCACCACCACCTCCGGTCTCGGGGTACCCCGATGGCCCCAAACTCTGAGGTCCCAGCCGACCAAGTCCCCAGTTTAGAGGGTGTAGCTGTCTCTCGAGTACCAAGAAAGGAGGCGCGGATGCCAGGCCTGGGCCCCGGTCAGCGCCCCGGGCGCACCTGCGCACTTCACGCTCGCGGTTCCTTTTCCCGACGCTGAGCGTCTCCCCCACCCCCTTTACATTCTTTTTTTTTTTTTTCTTAGTGCCCCTCTCCATCCCAAGAGGCTGCTCCTCTTTCCCCCTTCTCTGGTTCCTTCCTCTGTCTCTCTCTCTCCCTCTCTCTTTTTCCCTACAAGTCGCACCCGCCTTGTAATCAGCAACAAAAGCTGACATAAATCATGGGTGGATTGACAAGAGCTGACAAATAACTGATTGATTGCGGTCGAGGCACATTGACAATTGATGGAGGGGTGGAGATGCCCAAAGAACGAGGGGGAGAGAAAAAGAGAAGGCGGCTGGGGAGAGTAAGAATGGGAGGGGGGGGGCAGGAGTGTGAAACAGAGGAAACATGTGACCCCCGCTGGAGCCCCAATCTGCGCATCCCGGAGCGTCACGTGGCTAGGAAGGGCGGAGAGCCCGGCACACGTCGCCGAGTCGAGCCGCCACCCGCGGCCCTCCTAGCTTCTAGCTTCTGGTTTCTCCACCGTGGAAATCTCAGGAAATCAGAGCGGGCGGGCGGGCGTGCGGGTGGACTTCCTCGAATACCCGCACTCCACCTTTCCCTAACGCCGGTGGCCGCGCCAGGGCGGGATCTCAATCACTGAAAAGAGCACTTGATATGCGAGCGACCCTTGGGCAACCCCTGAAGTTGACAGCCCTGCTGGTATCCTCGCTCCCGCCCCTTCCTTCTGGATACCCCGGAAATCTGTCCCGAACACACCCCCTCCCCACCCCATTCACCCCCCCCACCCCCACCCGCCAAAGGTTTCAGTTTTCAAGCTAGGAGAAGGAGGAACAACGAGGAGAGGGGGGAAAAAAGAGGAAGGCGGTAGATGGCAAACGTAGAATAAATGTCCATCTTGTCCACCGAGCGAAATCGAGGGGAGGGGACCCGTCAGGGTTGCGGGGGGCGGCGGCGAAGAGGGATCTGGCCCATTAAAACCAGCTCTGAGAGTCCTGGCGGCGGCGGCGGCGGCGGCGGCGGCGGCGGCGGCGCGGGACGCGTCACATCCCCTTGACCCTCCAATCACCTCGGGCTCCCATTTGATTGGAAGGCGGCAAAGGCTTTAATCTCCCCCTCGGTGCAGCTGCTTTTGAAGTGAGTTTCCTCGCCAGAGCCCCGGCTGGACAGGCAGAGGCTCACATCGTAGAGCGGAGCGCCGGCTCGGGGGCGGCCGGAGCGCAACGCAGGGGCGCAGCCCCAGGCGGACACCGCGAGCCGCCGCCCGGCACCCCTGCAGTCCCTCCGGCTCCTTCGGCCCGGCCACGGCTCCAACTGCGGGCCATCCAGGATTACTCGCTTCTGGCTCCCGGCGCCAAGAAGGCGCGCTGGACACCCGTGGCCGCCGCGCCAGCTCCTCCTCCTCTTCCTTCTCCTCCTCCTCTTCCTCCTCCTCCTCCCGCTGCGGCTCCAACTCCCCGGGCGAGCGCGCAGCCCCGAGCCCGCCCCGCGCCTCCCGGAGCCCGCCCCCCGCTGCTCCCATGCGCGCGGGTGGGTCATGAGCACAGCGCCCTCGCTTTCTGCCCTAAGAAGCAGTAAGCACAGCGGCGGCGGCGGCGGCGGCGCAGACCCTGCCTGGACCAGCGCGATCTCTGGAAATAGCTCCGGTCCCGGCCCAGGCTCGTCCCCGGCCGGCAGCACCAAGCCTTTTGTGCACGCCGTGCCCCCCTCTGACCCTCTACGCCAGGCCAACCGCCTGCCCATCAAGGTGCTGAAGATGCTGACGGCACGGACTGGCCACATTTTGCACCCCGAGTACCTGCAACCCCTGCCTTCCACGCCCGTCAGTCCCATTGAGGTAAGGACTCTCTCCCAGGGTCAAGCTGGGACCACTTTGGCTGCCTCCTTCAGGGGTTTCTTTCTCTTGGGATCCGGGGCGGGTGGGGGGGGGGGGTGAGGGGGGGCGGGGAGGAGATCGGAGTGATTCAGCTCCGGGATGGGGGTAGAGAATAATAGTGCTTCCGCATCTCAAAACTAGGGTGGAAAGGGGGAACGAAGGAGGTGGAACAGAGTGCAAATGCGAGGGAGCAAGGCGGCCCAAAGTAGTTTCTCATTTTAGTATTAAAGCCCCCTACCCAACCCAAGCCCTCCCCCATTTGGTCCCGCAGGCGGACCGGAGCCTGTAACGCGGCCCCAAAGTCGCGCTCCTCTGCCTCCTCTGAAGCCCCAGTGTGTACAGAGCCTCCAAGGCGCCAACCGCCCAAGCCCTACTCTGAAGAATTAAGGGGTGTTTTCGGGGGAGGGGGTACAGTTCTACTTGTAGGATCTGAAAACCAAAATAGGTTCTTTTCTTTCTTCTTTTTTTTTCTTTTTCTCTTTCCTTCCTTCCTTTCTTCCTTCCTATACCTTCCTTTTCCTTCTTTTCTTTTCCCTCCTTTCTTTCCTTCCTTCCTTCTCTTTCTTTTCTTTTTCTCTTCTCAAATCCAGTTAGAGATAAGAGAACATTAGGAAAGACCCGAAGAAGTGCCGAGTGGGGTTCTTATTCCTCTTTGCCAAGGACGAAAATCTTTAAGGGGTGAGGTGCGGTACAGAGGGGGTGCCGCCTAAAGATTGCGCCCCACGGTGGAGATGCGCTTCTGGGGTGTCGCGGAAGGAAGGTAGAAGCCCGGAAGCCAGGATGCTAAAGGATTTCTTTCCCCTCCCCCCTTTTTTTCCCTCTGTGTGACCCCCCCTCCCTCCTCTGACTCCACAGCTCGATGCCAAGAAGAGCCCACTGGCGCTGCTGGCGCAGACATGCTCGCAGATAGGGAAGCCCGACCCCTCGCCCTCTTCCAAACTCTCCTCGGTCGCCAACAACGGGGGCGGCGCGGGTGGTGCTGGCGGCGGCGCTGGGGGCGACAAGGACGCCAAGTCGGGCCCCCTGAAGCTGAGCGACATCGGCGTGGAGGACAAGTCGAGTTTCAAGCCGTACTCCAAACCTGGCTCGGATAAGAAGGAGCCGGGAGGCGGCGGTGGAGGTGGAGGCGGCGGGGGCGGCGGCGGGGGTGTTTCGGCCGAGAAGTCGGGATTCCGGGTACCGAGCGCCACCTGCCAGCCATTCACGCCCAGGACAGGCAGCCCCAGCTCTAGCGCCTCGGCCTGTTCTCCAGGAGGCATGCTGCCCTCGGCCGGGGGCGGCCCCGAGGGCAAGGATGACAAGAAAGACCCAGACGCGGGCGGTGGCGGCGGCAGCAAGGGCGCCGGGGGCGCCTCGGCCGAAGGGGGACCCACGGGGCTGGCGCACGGCCGGATTAGCTGCGGTGGCGGAATTAACGTGGACGTGAACCAGCACCCAGATGGGGGGCCCGGGGGCAAAACTCTAGGCTCGGATTGTGGTAGCTCCTCCGGCTCCAGCTCCGGTTCGGGCCCCAGTGCGCCCACCTCGTCCTCGGTGCTGGGCTCTGGGCTGGTGGCTCCGGTGTCTCCCTACAAGCCCGGCCAGACAGTGTTCCCGCTGCCTCCCGCGGGCATGACCTACCCTGGCAGCCTGGCCGGGGCCTACGCCGGCTACCCGCCCCAGTTCCTGCCCCACGGCGTGGCGCTCGACCCCACCAAGCCCGGCAGCCTGGTCGGGGCCCAGCTGGCGGCAGCCGCAGCCGGCTCCCTGGGCTGCAGCAAGCCGGCCGGCTCGAGCCCCTTGGCCGGAGCGTCGCCGCCGTCGGTGATGACCGCCAGTTTGTGCCGGGACCCGTACTGCCTCAGCTACCACTGCGCCAGCCACCTGGCCGGGGCGGCGGCCGCCAGCGCGTCGTGCGCCCACGACCCGGCCGCCGCGGCCGCCGCGCTCAAGTCCGGATACCCGCTGGTGTACCCCACGCACCCGCTGCACGGAGTGCACTCCTCGCTGACGGCAGCCGCCGCGGCGGGGGCCACCCCGCCCTCGCTGGCCGGCCACCCCCTCTATCCCTACGGCTTCATGCTCCCCAACGACCCGCTCCCGCACATCTGCAACTGGGTGTCGGCCAACGGGCCGTGCGACAAGCGCTTCGCCACGTCCGAAGAGCTGCTGAGCCACTTGCGGACCCATACGGCCTTCCCTGGAACAGACAAACTGCTCTCGGGCTACCCCAGCTCGTCGTCTCTGGCTAGCGCGGCCGCCGCAGCCATGGCTTGCCACATGCACATCCCCACGTCCGGCGCACCCGGCAGCCCAGGGACGCTGGCGCTGCGCAGCCCCCACCACGCGCTGGGACTCAGCAGCCGCTACCACCCCTACTCCAAGAGCCCGCTCCCCACGCCCGGCGCCCCCGTGCCGGTGCCCGCCGCCACCGGACCCTACTACTCCCCCTACGCCCTCTACGGACAGAGACTGACCACCGCCTCGGCGCTGGGTTATCAGTGAGGGTGGTGGGGAGGGCTAGCCGGGGAGAGAAAGGAGCTGGGGGGAGGGGAGGAGCCGAGGGAAGGGCGGGAGCCACGGCCAAGGCCGCTGACACCCTTGCGCGTGGGGGAAGACCCGGGCCACCGAAGGAAACAAGTATATCCTCTTATCTATCTACCCCACAACAGTGGTGATCGAGACCCGGTGGGAAATTTCCCTTTCCTCATCTCTCACCTCCCCACCCAAACTTTATAAAAGTTGGAAAAGAAAATATCATTTGACTTTTTATAGAAAACGAAGGAAAAAAATAATTGAGAAAGTGTACATCTGAGAACTTCATTGGTGGACACTGGTAATTTATTTATGTTAGCTCCAAGCGGACCCGTGGTTCAAAAGTGCATTATTTAGTTTGAGCTCCGTAGGTTAAAAAGGAGGAGGGAAAAAGGAAACACACACACACACACACACAAATTTAAACTTGAGGGTAATAATGTGGAAAGCAAACCCTCCCATCCCTTGTAGATTATAAATAAAAACAAAACCGCCACAGAACTAGAGGTCTTCTCTTTAATGTTACTTTAAAATTGCTATGATTGTATCGTACGTTCTTATTTAATGTCTGATTGAAACACCAATTTACATGCATGTTTGTTACAAAAAAAATGAAAAAGTGAAACAAAACAAGTCACAATTTGTCAGCTCTGATTTCAAATTGCAATTATTTTTAAGGTGTATACCATCAAAAGAGAATGGGTATTTTTTTGTATGTATTCTGGAAGAAAACAACAAAAAAAAGGAAAAACAATTCTATTCCAAACCTCATTTGCCTTATTTTGTTCTTTAAAAGGAACACTTAACTATTTTTAATTTTTAAGCCCACCCGCCGAGAAGGGGGCAAGGTTTACGTCATGTACTAAAATAATAGACAATGTATCTCTTTAAAGATTAAAATTCCGTATATTTGATGTATTAAAAGGTTTTACTTCTTATTCATCCTTTTTTATTTATTTTTTATTTTTTCTTTTAATTAAAGACGCGCAGGGCTGTTTGTGGCCGCTGTGGGTTCCGGGGCCTCCACTGCTTCTCTTCTTTCCAGGACGGTGGCCGATTTCCCCTTTGCTTTGTTGTGATTTTCTGGAAGAGGCGCCGGCTTCGGAAGAGCCCGCCCAACCTCGGGGTTGGCGTGGAGGGAAAATATTTTTCAAGAGGGAATTTCACAATTTGGGAAGATAGTGTCCTTAGCTGTGGCTCATTTCGTTTCCATCTCAATCTTCCCCCGGCAGCTGCTTCGTGAAAAGTGAAAGGAGTGGGGCGGGGGAGGCTTTTTTGTTTTGTTTTGTTTTTGCTTTTTGTTCAATTCCCTACTTGAGATTTTGGGGGGGAGTTTGGGTTTCGTTTTGTGCTGAGAGCGCAGCAGGCCGGGACTCGCCGGGCCCGGCCAAGGCCCGCGGGGACGTGCGGTCGCCCGCCGTCCCTCGGCCGGGGGCGGCCATCCGGAGACTGTGGGGGGGACAAGGGGGTGCGGGGGCAACCTGTTTCCCCGGCGTGGAAGAGTGCGAGGAATCCTCTAGTCCCTTGAGAGCAAAGTGAGTTCGCTCTGCTTTTCTTCGGGCAGCCCAGCGCTAGCCAAACACCACCCCCACCCCGCACCCGCACCCGCACCCGGCTCCTTCTCCCGCTCCCGCCCGCGTGGAGACCCGCGTGGCAGGGCGGCGCCGCGGCTGGTTTTCCCCCCTCCGGGCCCGATCGCCGCGCAGCCGGCGCTCTACCCCAGTAAGCGCAGGAGGGTGCGCTGGGGCGAAGCACCCCGCGCCCCCTTCAAAGCCGGCCCCGCGAGGCTCCCGGCGCCTCTGCCCCCCCGGGCCCCCAGACTGGGGCGATCCGGTGGACTTTGGACATCGACGGCCGGTTCTGATTTCCAAGCTCCGCTCGGCTACGGCGCGGCGGGAGCCTGGGTCCCCGCGCGGGTCCCCGCGGCGCGCGCCGATCCCTTTCCCAGAACTTGGGAGGAAATGTTCTGATCGCTTTCGGGTGGGGACGGGGGTCGGCGATCCAGCCGCTCTCGGGCACTGCAGGCCTGGACCCGGGCTGGTTGGGGACTCCGGGCCCACGGGCGCCCTTTCGTGGGACCCCGGGGTGACGCCGCGCGGCACTGAGGCTCAGCCCCAGACGTCCCTCCTGCAATCAGACCGTTCTGGGTTCCTGGAGTCTTAGGCTGCCCCCGGTCCGCGGTTCCCCTAGTTGCTTCTAGAATCCCTCTGGGCCTCGGCCTTAGACAGCCGCCCGGCCTCCTCCGCCATTTGCACCGGGGTGGGTGACTTTGGAGATTTCCCCACCCTCCTCCCGGCGGCGGCCTCCGGGCGGCGGGGCCTTTTCCCGGCTTGCACGCACAGCAACCTCCGGCGACCTCCGGGACGCCGCGGGGAGCTCCCAGGCCGCACCCCCCGCAGCGGTCTTGGTGAAGACGGGCCGGGCCTTGTCCCTGCTCCCCGAGAAGGGACAGCCCCCCCCCCCCCCGCGCGACCCGCGAGCGGGAGCTGAGGACCCTGATCCTGTCCGGGAGGCCGCAACTCGGCTCCCACACTGATGGAGAGGAGAGGCAGTCCTGGGGCGTCTGGGGAGACCTCCGAACCACCGGGCGGCGGTCCAGACTCCCCGACCAACCCCCCCCCCACACACACACCACCCCGGTGCGAAGGTGACCGGAGATTCCCCTACGCCATTGCCCAGGCCGCAGCGCACCCAGTGCCCAGCACGGGTCACCTGAGCCTGACCACTGAGCCCCAGAAACGTCGCCTGCCTTTGCCTAGAGTCCTTCCCTGGCCGGGGGGGGGGGGGGGGGGTCCTGGGCCGCCACGTCGGTCGGGCCTGCCAGGTTCTGCTTCAGCAGGGAAGAACCTACACGTTCTCTCACGCGAAGATCCAGGCCTGGGACAACCGGGGACATTCGTGCCCTCACGCCCCTTCGCTATTAGTAAATCCTGAAGCTCAAAAGCTCTTCTCGGATTTTGTTTTTTAACGGGGAGCCGCTCTTGCCGAGGAAGCAGAATTCCAGAGCCTCGGGGGCCAGGGGTTGAGACGGAAAAGCTTTCCCGACGTGCTGCACGGAGCCAAGTTACCCTGGGCACGGAATGAGTGGAAAGGGAGTGCTAGTGTGTGCTTCGTTAGCCCCTTCGGGATGGGGGGCAAGGGCACTCCCCGCAGCCTGCCCCAGCACCCCCTCTCCTCCAGCTCGCTCTCTCTGGCATTCTCCCGAACGCTCCGCGAGCCCCAGCACCGCCGCGGGCGGAGGAAGCCGGAGCCCAGTGCGTGTCCGCCAGGCGGCGCTGTGGAGCCCGGCGAAGCGGGGGACGGAGAGCGGGAATCCTGTGGCTGGAGCGCGGGCCTGCAGGCTAGATGGTCACCCTAAAACCCTGGAGCCACCTCCAGCTTTGGGTGGCTTTGGAGGCGGTGTCTAGGAGTCCCCGTTCTGTTGCTTGTGACTCCTTTCCTGCTGCTGGCCACCTCCTCTGCTTCTCCACCCATTCAGCTCTGGCTTTCCCTGGCTCTCTTTCCTTACCGCAAAAGAATGGTCCCAGGAGTCACAGAGCCCACCACCATCCGAAGGCTCCCATGCACTCGTGTATTCCCGTTCACTGATGACTTCCAGCGCTTCTGTACTTCCCTCTACTGTCCTTTCACCCTGATGGAGAAACTGAGGCCACCGTCCTGGAAGTCAAATGTCAGGGCCAGCGGGAGAAAGCCCCAGGGGTTCTTCTCCATTCATCCCTACTCTCTCCCACCCCCACCCCTGTCCCTCCGTTGGTGACCCCCGTGTCCTTGTGCTAAGTAACTCAAAGTAAATGCCAATAAGGAATGTGCGCCTCATCTGTAGCCACAGACAGATCCAGTAATGAAATCCGTCCCAGGCCTGCAACCCTCTGGATGAGCACAACCAACACAGATGCAGATGCTTATGACGGCACTATGCACTTGTGGCTGCATCCGTGCAGGCATCTGCCTGCTCAGACTCTAGCAGGCCCCCTGTGTGTGGTGCACACTGAACTCACATGCAGTAAGAGAATGAGAGGTGGTGGATATGGGAAAGGCCTTGAGGAAAGGCAGGTGAAAACACTCCTCTAAGTGATGAGATCCCTCCACCCCTCCAGTGCTTTGCAGATCTCATTAAAGGTGTCCAGAAGGTGGGGACTGTTTCCTGCCAGGCCATGCTGGGACGCTGCAGCACATATTGGCTCCTCCACCATATGGGCCAATGGCCAGGTTGGGCTCAGAATGACTGCAAAGCCCTGGATGTCCTGCTTATACCATCTCTTATGGACCATGTTCAGCCCATATTATCCTGTGTCATCCCATTAAATTTCTATCCATTCCATGCAGTTATTTGTGTCTCTGCCCTATTTTTTAAGAAATCCAAGGGTTAACAGGGGAAAGAAACCAGCTCAAGGTCCCATGACAAGTGAGTGCCAGAGAATAAGCAGGATTCTTACCATTGAGATTTGTGTGTGTGTGTGTGTGTGTGTGTGTGTGTGTGTGTGTGTGTGTGTGTGTGTGTGTACATTAGAGCTTCAACACAGGGCCTGGGTACTGTCCCTTAGCTTTTTCCTTCAAGGTTAGTGTTCTACTACTTCTGGCATTTAGGTAGTTAATTGACGATAAGAGTCTCACAGAGTTTCCTGCCTGAACTGGCTTCAAACCAGAATCCTCAGATCTCAGTCAGTCTGTCTTAGCTAGTATTACAGGTATGAGCCACCAGCATCCAGCTTGAGGGGATTTTAAAGTAGACCTAGGAAGCAGACGTTTTGACCTGGCTGGAGAGAGGGCAGTGCAGATAGTCAGATTTCATCCAACTATGGAGAAAGCTCTTCTGTGTTATTATCTATTTCTTACTGTGGACATTTTTAGACACCTAGGGGTAGAAGGATAAACCCATCACCTGTCCTCGGCAATTATTAAGTCCTGGGCAATCTTACTTTCTGTCTAATCCTTCTCCTGCACCCACCTAAAAAAATGACTTGCTAGCATTCTGTTGAAATAAAAACAGGCACCCTGTCATTTCACCTCGTCTGGTGTCTGTTGCTTCCAGCTGGGCTTTCATCCTCTGCCTCCAGTCCAGAGCTCATGCTATCTCGCCCTGCCCGCCTACCTCAGCTGAGGTTCAGTGAGATTAAGGTTGTTGCTCAATGTCTCCAGCCAAGCCAGCTTTCATGAACCCGTTTCTGTCAGACCAGAAGCCAAGCATGCAATCCTACCATGCGGCTGGTGGACCCCCCAGAGTCCCAGGGGTGCTGAGCCCAGGATGTGCCTCAGGTATACTGGACTCTGAAAGACTTTTGAGTCCTGGCTGGACAGCAGTGCCTGGTGGGGTCACTCAGAGTGCAAGGGACATTCTGACAGCCAGAACAGCTTGCAGCCACATGGTAAACAGATTCAGCTGATGTGTAACTCCACC